CCTAACAAGATGGATTGGCCAAGTGGCAGCATCAATGGACTCAGCCTGCCAACAGTAGTGAGGTTGGCCCAGGATTGGGCAGTGTTTTGTTCTGCTGTGCTATGGGTCGGTACCAACTCAATGGCACCTAACAACAACAACAAATACAAGGCACACACTGACTACCAAACATTGTGAAAATTATACAAACAAAAGAAGACAAAATAGATAATCGGGACATACTAAAAATTAGAAACTTACGTGCATCCAATGATTTCACTCAGAGAGTAAAAACGGAGCCCACAGAATGGAAAAAATCTTTTGCAATAACCTAGCAGACAAGGAACAATTTCTAAAATCTATAGAGAAGAACAGAGTCCTAGTGTGGCACTGTGGGCTAATGCGTCAGACTGCGAAGTCTTCTGAACTGCAAAGTCAGTGGTTCCAGCTCTCCAGCTGCTCCTTGGAAACCCTATACAGGGTCGCTATGGAATTGATTCAACAGCACTTAACAACAACAATAGTGAACTACAACACCTCTACAAGAAAAGGACAAGTAATACAATTAAAAAGGGGCACAGGACATGAATAGACACTTCACCAAGGAGGAGATCTGGGCAGCCAACAAACATACGAAGAAATGTTCACGATCACTAGCCATTAGAGAGATGCAAATCAAAACAACAATGAGATAATCATCTCACACCAGCAATAACAGTGAAGTTTTAAAAAAACAGAGGACAATAAATGCTGGCGAGGATATAGAGAGACTGGTACCCTCCTACATTGCTGGTGGGAATGCAAAATGGTCCAACCACTCTGGAAAACAGTATGGCGCTTCCTCAGAAAGCTGAAAATAGAAATACCTTATGATCCATCAATTCCTCTATTTGATAAATAAGTATCCACAAGAAATACGAGCCATAACACAAGTAGATACATGCACACCAATGTTCATAGCAGCACTATTCACAATAGCAAAAAGATGGAGACAGCCTAAGTGCCCATCAATGAAAGAATGGATAAACAAACTTTGGTACATACACACAAAGAAATATTACACTATCTTGAAGAATAACAGCAAAACTGTAAGCCACCACATAACATGGATGAACCTTAAGGGTTTTAGTCAGTCACAAAAAGACAAATACTATATAAGACCATTATTGCAAAAGCTTAAAAAAGATACCCGTACTAAAAGGTAAAAAAAAGTCTTTTCTTTGTTGGTTACAGAGTGTTGAGGGAGACAGTGGCCACGGGATGGACACTGGCAGGAAAAGGACAGTAGAGCACAGGGTAAGGAATAGACACATCACAGTTTGGGTGTTGGGGAGGGCAATACACAAGAAGTGGGAGGGGAATGGAAAAGCAAGGTAGAGTAGGGAACCCAAAA